CATGGTTTGGAGTACCAGAAAAATTATCACCAACAATGGAACTCAATTCACAGGAAGTGAATTTAAGACGTTTTGTAAGACTCTGGGAATTGACCACATCACACTTCACCGTGTTCATCCTAGGTCAAATGGACAGGCTGAACGGTTTGTTGATACGTTCAAGAGAGCCCTTAAAAAAACAAATGGTACTAATACAGATGATGGTAATATACAGCAGTTTTTAAGTATATACAGAATAACACCAAATCCAAACGCAATATCAGAGATGTCTCCAGCTGAACTGATGTTTGCTAGAAAAATTAGATCAGTGTTCAATAGGCTGCTGCTGGAAAGAAAAAAGAGTTACCAGAACAAAACGCATCAGGAAAATATGAAATATTTCAGGCCGGGAGATAAAGTTTTTTTTAAAAATTACAAAAATGGGAAGGAATTTTGGCAAGATGGAGTGGTAACACAAAGAATTGGTAAAATGTTGTACATGATAAGAAGTAAAAAATGGACGCACAAAAGACATTTGAACCAATTAAGGAAAAGAATCATCGAAGAAATAAGTAAAGAAAATGAAGAACCAATGGAGGTATTATATGATTTATTTGATATACCAACTCCACCATTGCCTGAAACAGTTGTCCAAAGAAGGACAAGCAAAAGAAAAAGAACTAGGGTGGAACGTTTAAGTCCAGATCCCAAAAGGAAAAGATATTAATTCCTCCGGAATTAATCTCAAGGAGGAGGTGTTGTGTCGGAAACTTACCACCCCTCTTGAAGATGAACTTGTCTGCGAGCAAAGACGTTAAATAGTGGCATAAAAAGACAGAGACAGAGCAGTTCTTAAATGAGCTTAGTTATTGACTACTCAGGCGATTTCTGTACCTATTTACCAACCTATTAAAACCCTTTTTATTGTTGTTCAGAAAAAATTTGGCGTTTGACTCTACTAACCCCAAATCAACATCATAACACAAACAGAAAATTTGAGATGCAAGTGCCTCAGTTCTCAAACAACATTGCTGAACTGAGTTAACCAGAATGTAATCATTTCTGAGTTGACCACCATGTTGTATACATTCATGTGTCGTGCTTTTCATTTCCAATTTTATTATACTTTTTTTTTTTTCTTTTCATTACCGCTCAATCATGGCTCCAAAGAAAGCTAGCAAACAATTGTTGATGATATTGTCTCTTCCTACTCAGTTTCATATGGCAAAATCAACGATCTATTCTATTCTTATTAATAAAGAGATGATCATCTCTTTCCTTCCCCTTCCACGCCATCTTCCACTTACGCCATCAACTCTCCTACATACATGTACGGTAAAATTAAAGTGTTCATCTATATTTTATCTGTTTAGTATTGAAATATTAAATAAGCAATCGTCTTGGGACCAGGAATGGATTAATCCATTTTATATTGGTTCCTAATAGAAAAATAGTTTTGGTTTACAAACATTTCTTGTCACGAATGGGCTTAAGGGATGAATTAAATTTGAGAACCGAGGTTCCACTGTATTGGAAACTATCAAACTGTACCAAATAACAGAAACGACACCATTTTTCTTTTTTTATTTATTTCACCCCCAAGCAAGATAGTAATACCACTAGCATGCATGGGGTTACAGGAACTAAAAGAAAAGACTGACAATAGGGAGGATTGAGGAAAGGACAGAAGAAGCCATTGATGTTGCATTTAAATTTTTGAAGATTGTAGTTATCAGGTAAGCAAGGAAATGGAAGGGAGTTCCACAGGTGAGAAGTGTGAGAAAAGAAACTGTTGGAGTAGAAGTGTTGAGGGTTGCATTTAGTTATTTCAACAGTAAAATGATGCGACCGAGTTACCAATCATGCTTAAATTCATGTAGTCGAAGCACCAGGGGAAAAAAAGCTCACTTGAGGACTTTCAACAGCAATGATTAAAATGGGTATCACATGTAACTTGAAGAGAAAATAATGACATAATCAAAATGTTGCCATTCCACATGACTTCAAACAAAAGGTTAGGAAGGAAACTCCATCAATACTGGAAAGAGCAATAACAGTTACTGGACTTAACCTATTTTTCTGAGGCTTACCACTACATCATATTGAAACACTGGTTCCTGTATGATCCCCAAAGTTAAGCATCATTGAGCCTGGATGGGTGACTGCTTGGGAATACTAGGTGCTGTAAGCTTGGATGTGCAGGTGGTGTTATGATTAATGGCTCAGAATTGTTAATCAGAGAGCAGTGTTCCAATTCCTGTCGGGTTCGTTATACACAGTTATGCACAAATATCCTTGGGAAAAGCATGCATCCACCTCTTCTGACCCCAGCTATGGGTTAATTAGTAAGACTTGTATCCTTAAAACAATTATTATCTCCAAAAATAAAAATAATCAAATAAAATTGCATACAAAATGTTTTGATTTCAGCATTAAATAGCCCATAGTGGTTGATATTCCCACTAAACAGAATCAAGCAAGCAACCTATTGAGAAAATGTTTTAAGAGAAAGATTTTATAAATTTCAATCAAGAGTAGCAATGACTGCTTAGTCAATGAATACTGAATGTTTCCTTATAATGAAACAGCTTGTATTATCAGTACCATAGAATGCAGAGTCAAATTTGACTTCAAAATTGAGTATTTACCTTATTGACATTGTTCCAACTATTGTCCTCATTTTTATTGTCATATTCATAATATTTCAGCTGTTGTATGCTCCAACCTTCTTCAGGTGATATACATTTGAATTTCGAACCAAACCCATTATTTTGTCCACAGGTATAGATTATTCTAGTTCCACATGCCATGCCTTTTCTGGATATCTCAGTTTCAGTTATTTCCTTTTAGTAACTCAACTCTCCAACTTTTTGTTCACCTTTTTGGTTTGGTTTGGTTTGTTTTGTTTTGTTTTATGGCATATCAACCTCAATGGGTTATTTAATGCCGACAAGATTTTTATTGCTGGTAATATTTTTTTCTTCAAAAATGTATTGTTGGTTTGGTTTGTTTTATGGCATATCAACCTCAATGGGTTATTTAATGCTGACAAAATTTTTAATGCTGGTAATATTTTAAAAAATACTAAAAATTATTTGCTGGTCTTAAAACCTATTTTTACACTTTCATAGTGTTTTGATCCCAGTTTGGACCTGGGAACACCATCAATTAAGAGGTGATTCCACACTCCTCAAAACTTCCTGATCAGAGGCCTTGCTGTTGGATGTAGTTTATCGTCATACCCAGGACAATTGACTGTTCACGAAAGGCTTCCAAAGACAATAGACAATACTAGAAGATCTTAATGTCAATGATAACATTTATTAAACTTATGGGGTGTTGAAAATGTCATAGGTTGACTATGAAAAACTGAAATCTTGCATGCATTAAAGTCAACCCTTCTTATTAATAACTGCATTGTTTCTTTCCAGGTACATGGGTGGGCTGAAAGGTTCATAGGCTGACTAAGAAGAAGTGATGTTAGAGCTGTGAAATCTTGCATACATTAATTTCAACCCTTCTTGTTAATAACTGCATTGTTTATTTACAGATACATGGGTGGGCTGAAAGGTTCATAGGCTGATCAAAAGTGTTACAGGATGGTTCACCAGTGACTTGACTCAAAACGTTGTGAGTTGTGATCAAATTCATAACTAATTAAGGAAGTAGCAAAGATAGGCAAAGAAAATAATATAGCAATAACAAAGGAAAATACTGAAATTCAGTTGTAGAAATGGTGAAAAAGAAGGACCTCCAATCTGTAGTTGACTGAGGCAGGAAATGGCTTGTAAACTTTAATGCCTCCAAAACAAAACTGCTCTCATTTACCCACCATAGAGAACCCTCCCTACCTCCTATCAGGATGGCTGATGGCCAACTCCACAAGAACGCCTTTCTGTGCCTGCTTGGTCTCACACTACCCACTGACCTGAAGTGGGACAACTACATTGAATCAATAACTTCATCTACCGCAAATTTGTTCTCTGTGTCGTGACAGAAGGTTTTTCTCGCCTGAGTCTATCCTTCAAATCTACAAATCAACCATTTGTCCTTGCATGGAATACTGCTGCCATATATGGTCTGGTCATCCAAGGGTCTTTGACAAAATCCAGAGACGGATATGCAATATGCAATGTGATTGGTCCTGATCTAGCATCCCATCTACAGTCACTTTCTCACAGATGTGCTGTGGTTTCCCTCTGTCTTTTCTACAAGTATTTTCATGTTAAGTGCTCTGACGAGCTACTTTCACTGGTTCCCAAAATGCATGAATTTAAATGTGCTACAAGTTGGCATCTTTCACTGTCAAAACAGCTAAATGCAACCGCCTCTTCTACTCCAACAGCTTCTTATCGCGCATCTCCCATCAGTAGAACTCCCTTCCTATCACTTGCATCTATAATCTTCTATTACTCAAATGCAATGTCAATCGATATCTTCTGATGCCTTGACTTTGATCTCTGTCCTTCTCTTTATCCTTTTCCCAAACAATCCTCTTTACTCTCACTCTCTCCCTTATGTACTAGTGGCACTCCCACCTTGCTAGGGGTGATCTGCTTAAAAAAATGATCACTGTGCCATCACTTGTGTATTAGTGGCATTATTGTGATGCTTGGGGTGAAATGATAAAAAAAATAAAATAAATGAAAAATAAAAATATGGTTGTAAATAGTAAAAGAGATAAAAGTGAAAATGCAGAATTAAGCTGATCATCAAAGAAACCAAAAAAAAAAAAAAAGTGTAGAAAGTGTAGATTGATTTTTTTTTTTTTAAGGCTTATCAACCCCTGGTTATTTAAAACCAGAAAATATTTTGGATTGTAAGAATATTTTGGAGATGATAATGATTTACTGATACAAGTCCTACTAATTAACATATAGCTGGAGGAGAAAAGGAGGATTTATACCTTTCCCAAGTGTATTTGTGGATAAATAGATCTAATGAACCATACTTAAATTGGAACTTGGCTCCTCAAGTTCCGATTCTGAGACATTATCTATTACAATACCTGTACATTCCAGCTTACAGCACCTGGTATACCCAAGTGGTTACCCATCTAGGTACTGACCAGGCTTGATGTGGCTTAACTTTGAGGATTGTATGAGAATTGGTACTTCAATGTGATATGGTATTAAACTATGTAAAGCTTATAGGCTTCGAACATTGTAAACTATGCAAAACTTATATGCATTGAAAATAAAAGCACTTATAGCTGAAATAAGTTTTGTGCTTCAAAATGTAAAAAGCTTGAGGCAAAGTTGGCATAGTAACAGACCTTTATGGACAAACTTCAGTTTACAAATAATAATTCTATTTTATAAAATAAGTGATGCTAAACTATTTAACAACTATTGCCCTATCACATTACTATTGAACATATGCAAATTATTTTAAAAATTACTTACAAACAAATACCCTCAATGAAAAGATAAATTTTACAAGTGGTTACTCAAAAGGAGACCATCTACAACAGTAGATTAATTGATTGAAAAAATATGTAAAATCCATTTGATTATCTTTGGTTGACTAAGATAAGGCATCTGACACAGTAGAACTTGAGGTAGTCTTTAATTCATATGAAAACAATATAAAAATTATTGAGAATATATATCATAAAAGTACTGGAATAATTGCACAAAGAAACATTAAACAAAAACTGGGAAAGGAGTAAAAGTGAAGGAATATGTATTTTTAACAAAACTAAACTGTAGTTCTCTTGGAATAGATAGAAAATTAATCATTGGTTATTTCACTATATCTTATTAAAAATACCATCCAATATGTTTATATATAGTATTTATATATTATATATATATAAAAATGTATGTGTATTTGTGTGTGTGTGTGTGTGTGTGTGAATAATTTTTTACATGTCCATTATCACTAATCCAAACATTCTGAAAACAGCACTTATTTCCCCATGGAGTGCAAGTAACAGAAGGTAAGCCTGGAGCACAGTGTAGTCGCATAGAAAGTTTGTCAGTGTTGCAAACAAACAGACAATGTAAGCTGTTATTAACATGATGTTAAATACAGAAATAAATGAAGACAGTAATAATGACAACAACATTGTGAACAACTAACCATATACAATCTGGTGAAAATGTGTGACCAGTTATTTACTGGGTTTGGAAAACACAAATTTATCAGTGTAAGTTTATTCCATTAAAGAGAGAGATTACTGACCGAGAAAACCAAAATTGATGAAGCAGACAGAAATATTCACAAAGGCTCGCCATAGGAACACAACGTGATCATGGAGTCAACATTGGATACCCATGGCCTTTGTGCAATGACAATATGGACACCAGTGTTACCCCTTCTGCAACATTGTTACGGTAAAAGACAGTATAGTATGACATAAGAGACTTTAGGGACATAGCAGTGTGTAGCAGCTCACAAGTGGCTGTATGCTTGAGTGACAGTCAGATAAGTTTTACTTATGTTCTTTTTAGAAATAAATCTCCTTACTGCATGTGTTTATGGAATATAATTATAACAATACTACAGTATTTATTAGTGTATTTTTCTATAAGATGTAGATCCATAAGATTTTGACCTGCAAAGGGTTGATAAGCTGTCAAAAATGAATCAGTGTCATTTTGTGTCAGTTATATTTTCATTTTTTTGTCTTTAGTCTAAAAGCCAAAACACAGCTGGTCCTAAGGATTTCAGATTAAGAATAGTGAACACACACACACACACATATATATATATATATATATATATATATATATATATATATATATATGAATTACAGTTAATGAGATCCAAATGATTTACCTCATACAGATGATCATTTCATACATGGGCTTATCAATGCAAATACATTTACTAAAGGTAAATGTAGTAAATGTATTTGTATTGATAAGTCCAGGGAAAAACATATTACATCTCTCTGATCATTGCTCAAATATGTCTCATTTAAATACACATGAACACCTATTAAAGTCTATCCGCAACATACTCGTTGATAATACAACTATAATAGCCTCATCCACATGTAAAAAAACAAAGGCTAAAAATAATGGAAGCATTATTAATAAAAACACTCAATGACATCAGCTATGAACATGGCCACAATGTGTTGATCGTGTTTGGAAAATAAAACATTCCTATAACTTGAGATACATACATAAAAAAATCCATACATTCAGTTAAAAGTAAAAATAAAATCATCCTTGATAATGGCTAAAAGTATAGCTGAAAGTGCTTAGACATACAAAACATTTGGACAAATTCTACATAATTTACATTCTGAAAAGATGAAAATTATAAGAACTCAAGAAAAATTAAATAAAAACTTAACCACAGTACCTTATCAGTCATTTTTAATGGAACTTATATGATAAAATATTGTTTTAAGGTTTGCTATATTTATGGGTTAAAGTGGTCAATATCAGGGATATAGTGTATGTAAATATAAATAATATAAATATATAACACTGAAGTCAACACCCAGAAGTGACAGTCTGTTTCATGCATAAACGCAATTGTCAGGCCACAATCATCTGTAATATGACCTGACAATTGTGTTTAAGCATGAAATAGATTGTCACCTCTGGGTGTTAATTTTAATGTCCATTTTTATATTTAAATATATATAGCTGTTTATCTCACAAAATAATGGTAGCACCCAGTTTGGTCAAAATATATTCCTTTTATATATAAATTCTTTAAATACAAACCAAAAGAAATGTTTTAAGAATGTTGTTAAAGACAACCTGAAAACTCTTGAAATTAGTGTCAAAGACTGGGAAACCAGCAGAGAATAAGTTTGGTTGGAGAAAGTTAGTTTTTGATTGTTGCAGCAGAAGTTGAAAAGAACCTTTAAGAATCCCAGGAGATATTTGGTTAATTTGCAGTGTAAGCACCGGAAGCCCAAGGTAATAATAATGTTCCATTATGGTGTGAAATTGCCTGATTATTTTGAAAATGACAATAAAATTTTGCATTCGATTACCATTTAGGATTTATCGACAATGTAAGTTCCATCTCTTTGCATTGTCCAGCTGCCATTACTGGAATTGTTTACATGCGTTTGCCTGGCCTCGAGTAGCAATGTACTGAAGCTTACTTAGTTAACGGCCTCTTTACTGCTTTTTGTATTTTCTTATTTGTCTTGATTACTGTGCAATTTTCATGAAAGTTATTTTAAAATGTGCTTCCTTTTTTTTATTTTTAAATGAATAGTTTTTTTTATTTAATTGGTATAAATTCCTTTTTACCAATTAAATGTATTGTTTCTTTATAGAAGTGAAGCTTTATTAAATAATGAATTCTTTTTTTTTATTAAATTGGTTTAAATTTGTTACAGAAACAATTGAAAGCTTTTGTGAATAAATATAGTCATGGCTGAACTCTTTTTCCAAAAAAAAAAAAAATTTTTTTTTATCCTTTCAGGCATGTAATTTCGATTTTATTTTTAGTTTTTTCATTTCTACTGCTATATTTGGAATTGTGCATTCATTTTAAACTTTGCACATTGTGCAATAACCAAAACAAATAAAGCTTCTGTGCATGACTACTCAAGGCAAACATATGTAAACAAAGTCATTAATGGCAGCCATTCTGTTGATGTGATGCAAAAGAAGTTGAACTTACATTGTTGATAACTCCTAAACAGTAACAGACCACAAACTTTTAATGTCATTTTCAAAATAATCAGGCAATTTCACACCATAATGGAACATTTTCATTACCATGGGCTTTGGGGCTTCTACTGCAAATTAACCAAACATTCAGTCTTAGCTTGTATATAACACCTGTGGGAAGGTTGTTCAATCTCATGTAGGATTTGCTAGTCATTGAAGATTCCATGAAAATTGGCAATCTAATGCTGACTATATCAATGTTCTTCCTGACTGACCTGCAAGGTACTTATATTAGTTTTGTGATAAAATTTGCAGGTCTGATGTCTGGCTGAAGCTGCACATGAGGAGAAAGTCACTTTCAAGAATCTCCAAAAGATTTTTTGTGTGTCATTTTTGTAAAAAGGTATACAGGTTGGTTTGCAAAGTCATCTGCCGGCCCATGGCCGCTCAGCTCAGTGTTGAAGAGAGGGTCCTCTTCTCTCTGTGTGTTTCTAGTATGAGAGTGTGCTGAGGAATCTCCCAATGTTTTCCATTTCCAAAAAATCTGACCATATGCCAGATATCCATCTTCTGAATCTGTTCTTTGTCAAGCCAAGAATGTTTCAGCATCCACTCATATACATCCTTGTCAATGCACTTAATTCAATTGTGCATATTAATAATATAGACTGAATGGATTTTTATTTATACAATTTTGGATCCTGACCAGTTATATTCTCCACTGAATTAAGTTCACTGATGACAAGGAAGAAGATTGTGTTGAAAAACAATTATAACATAATTATGCATTTTTCATCATTAGGCTGTGAACTTATTCCTGTACTTGCACATGCACGCCCACTCACTTAATGTATATGTTAAGGAAAGCTTGAGTAATCAAAAATGTGCCTCCTGGAAGGATTTGAACCTGTGTCACCTTTTTCACATTTATTTTTACTAGGAATTCTTAACTTAGGCCTCGTCCTAGGTAAGATGATAATCTACGTCCAACAGCAAGGCATCTGATCAGGAGGTTTTGAGGAGCGTGGAACCACCTCTTAATTGCTGGTGTTCCCAGGTCCACTCTGACCCGGGGTGGTAGCACCTGTCAGGGCCCCAGCTATGGGCAAATAGTTGACCCCCTAAAAGGGGTCAAAACACTATGAAAGTATAAAAATAGGTTTTAATACCAGCAATACATTTTTGGAAAAATTATTATTTGAAGAAAAAAATTATTCCCTGCAATACATTATTACCAGCAGTAAATTTTTCAAAAAGAAAACTATTACCTGCAATACATTTTTGAAAAAAAAAAAAAAAAAAATTACCAGCAATACATTAAAAAAAAAATTATTAACTGCAATGAATTTTTGGGAAAAAAAAATAATACCATCAATAAAAATCTTGTGAGTATTAAATAACCCATTGAGGTTGATGTGCCATAAAACAAACCAATCAACCTAGGCCAGTTGACATTAATTTCACTACTTAAGAAAATAAAAGACAGTGATGTCATCTCGAATATATATATATATATAGACACTAAAAAAAATA